TAGTGTGAATTGTAAACCGAGTGTTGCTACAAGCAGTGATTTCGTATGCCCCGACTTCGATAAAATTGCTCTTCGGCAAGCCATCAAGCAAGATGCCAAAGCAAGATTTGCCTTTTAATAAACGTTTTGAAATGGTTTTCGTATTTGATAGCAGCAAATAATTTTTACAGTATTTTGAACTACTTTGCGTTCCCGCATAAAGCTTACAAGCTTTCGTAACATTAGCTCGTGTGAGCCGCTTTATATCACGTTCTAACTTACTGATTACCTGCTCAAACTGAGCCCTTAAAGTACTTTGTTTCAATGCATGCGTTAGACAAGCTACTGCTTGGGTTAATTTTTTAAAATTTTTTAGCGGGTCATCTATTTATAGCTTTCTTACACTTTAGTTTGTTTTGAACAACACAGCCGAAAAGGCAAAGTCGTAAAATTGCGTTATATTCGCTATAAAGATTTCCTAAGCATGTCAAGGGTCGGTGATTTTAAAAATGTCGCGCCAGTGTACTTCAGTAGCTGATATTTAGAAATACTTAATTTTACCTATAGTACTCTACGTTCTATTAAACGTCAACTGCAATGAACTTTAATTTACATTTCAACATTTTTAATCTGTATTCCTCCTTAATTCAGACTGAACATGCATTCGTACGCATTTTGGCACAGTGTGAATCCATCGACTCAGCCGAGAATCAACATTCATATCGCTAAACATTGGCACTCGACATTTTGTGTGGAGTTTTTATTTGTCACTAAGATTCTGAGAGTGGTGGTGGCATCTGTATATCAAAGGCCACAATGGGCAGTGCTGCATATTGCATGATGGTGACGTTGGCCAGATCTCAAAGTCGTTGTTAAAACGTTGGTGGCATATTCGTATTGAGAGCCTGCTGCTGTTGCCGCTGTAAGCGAATTTGTGGCCTGTGAATCACTGAGGTATATATGCCTATATTTCTCAGGCTTATCTTTCGGATGTCGGTAATCATCCCATACTATTGGTCGAATGACCATTATGACATTCATGAAGTGCGCCACACACGAAGCCTTCAGTGTAACAACAAATTAACGATTGATTATACGGACAGCCGAAGAAGCCGATGTCGGCCCCTGATAAAGACCTCGCCAAATTGAGGACGAATGCTTTGCTTAGCGGCAAGGCTTGAGACCAGAACGCTTTCTTCGGATAATGGCAGCCACGCTCCGTCTCCCACTCTAATTAAGATTTCTCACGCTAGTCTAGTATTCCTTAGAGAAGCAGCGTCAGTGAGGCTGGAGAACGCACGCGAGGATTGTCCCTTTCAAAACTGGCATCGTGCCAGTCTCGATTCGTTACAAGGAACGCCGCAGTGCGAGGCAGGAGATCAAATGCGAGACCCCCCTTGTTACATCATCAGTGGCGGCGGCATCGTGGTGCGGCATCACAGCTGGTATGCCTAACTAGAGGATCCGGGCTTGTCGCCGCGCCAGCGGGTGCCTTTGTTACTTCCGCCAAAGTAAAACATATAGCCGCGAGGATATCTCGCTGGAGAACTTAAGCGCAATTTGCGCGTCTGCAATCTACTCGTGACAGCCAGTCGTTTTACAGGTAAGACTGAAAAGCCGGAAAACCTTCGCATAGATTTTCATCTCTTTGCACGTCGGAAGTGCACAAATGTTATGCAATAGAACTTCATGGTACGCCATCTGTGTTACATTGTTACGCTCCTCTTCCACAGAATATACAGTAGTGATTCGCCACTTCCCGTCGCACAGAGATACAATATCATTATCCTATGCTTGTCCCGCGGGAAAAGGTAACTGCTTGCAAAAATGGCAAAATGTACGTTGTCACCACACGCCTGTGTCCGATAAGCTACAATAATGTGGCACTTATCCACAGAAAGCAAGCATCCACATCATCGCACCACCAGATCTATAACAGGCGTGTTTAACGTCTTTTTAAAGCTTTATAAAAGTTTTACATGTCGGCTCTAGCATGTAGCCCAATACTCTCGCATTGAGCTGAATAACTTAAACGGGCGCATATTATTCTACTCGCGGAGCGCATCACAGTCTACATCAGCCTCATTAGGAATCTTCTACCGAATATTTTCTAATTTATCACTATATGTGCAACTGCTTTAAACTGCAGAAACAGAATATAAACCCATGGTCGAAATATGTACGGAATACCACAAATAGAACAATTACGAGTTGTTCATTCTCAACGTCGAAATGCCCATTTACGTTCCCGTTATGGTTTCGTGCAAAAGCATATCTTGCCAAGCAATGTCCTTTGTAGTGTCATGAGCTATCGCTAATCATATTTTGCGATTATATAGCGAAATAGCCCTGGCATCGATAGCTTCAGTACCTCAATTATAATGATGGACCCCGAGATCATTCATTAAACAGCTCGTTGTTGGACATGCATAGCCCATATAAGGAGTTCGTTGGAACTCGTACTCGGTGCAGCGCAAACCATTCTACTAATGTTATCGCTCTCAGGAAACAGAATTAGCCTAATTTTAAAACCACTGAAAGGACATTCGGCCTGCTTTGGTCTCGGACACAAATGCAATGGTCTTTTGGTTGGGCAAACTAGGACGCGTATAACGTAAAGAACGATACAGTTTTCAGCGTTGAGAAGCATGGTGATGTAAAGGACCGTGCCAATTATAAGGCATCGATGCTTCAAACCATCTCACCCGAATGTATGAACGCACAGAAGCTATACCACCACATAAAGCGCGCTGTGGTGCACACGCGTACTTTCTCTGCAAGATCAGGGACGGGAGCATTTGCTTTCCGCGGATGGCAGACCATGTGGAGCACTGATGAAAAAGAGTCCGTGCGCATCCCGAGCGACAGAGGAGAGAAAATGTAGCTCCCTTAGCGAGGCAACTGCGAGAAAGCCTCACTGGTCACTTTGCTGTAATTAGGAGTGGGCAAAACAACAACAACGGAGCATTCAGAGAATATAGCACGCTGTCCGGTCACCAGAATGTGGAGAAGGAGCCTTGTGCATAGCTGGCGAGTCGACAAACGACACGCACTCATGGGAGGAGGCCGACCCTGCGATCTCTCGACGCCGCACTTGGACGCCCGCCGCAAGAGAAGGCGCCGGAGTGCAAGGTTCTCCGCGATGTCTCATTGCAAACGCAATTACCACGCGTAGAGCCCCATTGTGCGGTCAGCCAAGCGCGACTACCACGCTGAGGGTATACAACCGTCCATCGAGCGCACGCTGCGGCGCGTCCCGTCGCGGCGTCCCGAGGATTCTTTGCTAATGAATGAAGCACGTGCTTTGCGCTCCAAGGGTGAGGCCACGACACCCACGGGTGGCCGGGCAGGCTCGACGTCGACTGCGTCTTGACAGCCGAGTGACCCACTTGAATGCTGGCGGCACACTATTAGCGGACGATACGAGCGCCGATGTGGCGACCACCCGCCGTTTGACACGCGCTGTGCTGAGGTCGCGTCACGTTCGCGCATCACGGCGAGGCCATTGCCACCACCCAGCGATGTCACAGAGAGAGTGGCCTGAACTCCTCCACGCACTCTTTCCAAGACGTTAGCACCATATGATTCTGTCAGCACATTTGATAAATAGGCCAACAAATTTGCTTTGTGCTGAAGCGTGTAGATTGATAGCGAAACTACGCACAGTCTCCTAGTTCACATTCCCGACTTCTTTCTAATTATCCTCTTATCAATGGCCTCCTCTGTTGATCTTCCAGATTGAATACCAATTTTTTGTGACTGTATGGCTACATACCTATGGTGCTAATGTTCTATCATGCGTCAACAAAATGGTTATGGTGGTAAAAGAAACGTGCAATAGTTCGTTGCTGAATGAAATGAATGAGACAAAAACCAATTCGATAGGAGTGAGAAAAATCTAATCGATACAGCATCTGCTTTCTGAGAATGACAACCCAATTCGTTTCCTCGGGAGCAGCCCCTTAACTTTCTAACGTGTTCATAATACGGTAAACACATTGACGTAAAACGTGTCGCAGTGGCGTTAAGCTTAAATTGATTTTAAACAAAATAATGCAAGATAACGTAATATTTCTGGAATGGGAAGCCTTCGACATTACCCACACCCACAAACTTATAGAGCTTAAAGGGGGTCATTGTGCGGGTTGCATCGACACAGTCAAGAGTTCGGCGAAAGTCTGTCCAGTCTGATAACGGATGAGATGAAACACGGTCAATGACAAATCCTGATGAACTTATCTTACCTTTCGGAACTGCAAAAGGGTTCTCTGAGTTCACTGAGTTGGACTAGAAGTCGTTGTCAATTATTCGGCAAGTAAGTTACGCTCTGAGCGTGCTTAAATTACAGGCATAGTCCCTGTTGTTCTATTCATTGTAGCTGGTGTTGACTGAATGATTAGTGATTCTAGCAGCAGGTGAGATGACGCGGTTCTGAAACGTCAGGTAACTTCATGAGACTTGGTCAGTGACCTTGCATCGCCATGCTTTAGATTCAAGCTGCGCCCACTTGAAATGGCTTGATTAGGCGCATCGACCACAGTAGAACACCACAAAGTCTCTTGTGCCCGTCAGAAACGCGGCGAAAGCCAACGGAAAAATATATCATCGGCAAAGAATTTACTCGCGCTACTCCGTGCTCGTCTTGCAGCTTATTCGCGGCCACATCCTGAAGAATGTGCGCGCTCGCCCGAACGCTTGGCCGAACCCATCAAGTGGTCTGAGATGGCGGTGCACGTTAAGTTCAGCGCTCCCGGCTGACTGGAGAGCAGCTGACGGACAAGGTCGGCGGACTGAGCGCTAAAATCAGCTGCAGGCCGGCGCCGCGCGTTGGCAGCCAAGGGCGCTGCATCATCGCTAGCGTCGCGTCCTGCGGCTGCGCGAGCGGGATGCCCGTTGCAACCCCCCTTCCCGCCCCCCTACGGCCGAAAACGGGCCGACACGTTTTCTGGAACTGCTATCAAGCTACGGGGAGCGCAAGACAAACAAGAATGCCGCGAAGCAAGACGCCGTGGAAACAAGTTGCGCCGTCCAGCCGGCAGTATCCATTTAAAGCAGCAGCTGCCCCGAGGGGGTTCGGCACTCAGTAGGTCAGCGGCACAGCATCGCCGAGGAGGACCGCTCGCCCTCGCGCAGCGGTGAGGAGGACGACGCTCGCCTGGCCGCCGGAGCTTCTCCGCGGCCTTCATTGACGCCGCCGGCACGGACCATGCGGCCACGATGATCCTGCAGAGGAATGTGTTCAGGCTCGAGCTCCTCGCTCGGGTGCCACCGGCTTCCAAAGCACCGTCAGACGAAGACTGCCTGCACTTGGCCAAGAAGGCGGCCCGCAGCATCGACGAAGGGCCCCTATTCTTACTGCTTGTGGACGGCGCCAAAGTGAAATCCAAGAGCGAGCAGGCTGCCCAAGTCAGGAACCACGGAACGCTGCTCACTTGCCTGTTCGATCCTGAGGAACCCCGCGTCGTCACCACTATTTTCCTCCTGGACGACGACGGCAGCGGTGATAGAAAAAAAGAGGTGGCCGTGTGGCGTGCTGCCACAGAAGAAGAGGCACGTGCTCTGTGCAACTTTAAGGACCCATTGCCAGAAAACGAGTCGCTCAGCAGCTCGCCCAGCGACACCCTGTCGTCCCTCAATTCCCTCTCTTCTACGGGCTCCTCGGACAGCCTCAAGACGAGCTCCAGCCGCCAGGTGCTGGTGGCCGCAAGCCGGAGCGCCTCCCGCGACCGGCGAGCCGATGCCAGGCAGCGCGAAGCGCCCAAGGTGCTACCGGCACCTCCTGGTGAACAGGAACGCTCAGGCCGCAAGTCCGACAGCTCCAGGAAGGAATCTTCGCGAAAACTACCACACCTGTGGACCGCAGCGGCCAATTCCCTGAAGCGTGCGCCCCAGATCCTTGTCCGTCCTGCCGGAAATCAAACCCTCCAACCGGGTCCTTCATCGTGGATGCGATGGTCGCCGCCACGCGTGCCGGTCATGTGCTTCCAGCCCTTTGGACGCCCTCTGGTCAACCAAGATGGCAGGGGATACCACCCTAACGTGCCCACGCAGTCGCCACACCACGCCAAGGGAAACTCGCGGAACGCGGTCACTCTACTGCATTCTCCTCAACGTTCCATGCTTCGCTCTGGTTCTTTGAGCAGCCAGGAATCGGGTGGTTCCGATAATGAAGGCCATCACCAGGCGACCGAATTTGACCATCACTCGAGGCACCGTTCCAAGAAGGTGGTTACGTTCAACTACATGACGAAAGTGCAGTTCATGTAGGGGCCTATGTGCGTGACTGTGCAAAATGTGTGAGAGTTTGTAAAGGCGTCCGACCTGTGAAGAACTGAGGTTTCTTCTTCGGTGGCTCAGATACACCTCTTCAGTGCATCTGCTTTTGTTGCGGCAGATTCGCACTGTGTCAGCTGTTGGTGTGCCACCACGCGGCCAGCTACCCAGCGGTCAGCGCATTCAGCCAACCCTTCAAGCTCCGCCAGCTGCGTGAACCCGACCGACGGATTCTCCAAATCTTCCACGGACAGTTTGGAAGATTACGGAAGAAGCAGGATTTCTTCGGCCAAGTTACGCAGACTGTCGCGTGCATTGATACGCGAGCAGATATTCAAGAACGTGGATACTGACATCTAACGGTAGACGGTCATCCGGCTTTTGCGCTTGGATAGCACGAAACGTAGCTTCGGAAATGATGCACTGGACCGCAGTGGCCTACGCAGGATGGCGCAGTACAGTGCGAAACCCAGTAAGTCTCCCCTCTTTTGCAATTGCATCAGACTAGCTTCCACTGTTGCCACGCGTAAGAAGAATGGTAAACGCATTTGCTATTGTTCTTGCAAGGTGGTGACCAAGTGGAATTCGGTTTATTATGCACACTGCTGTTCCTCGTGAATGTGAACGGCAATAAGTGGATTACTTGGCAACAACACCCCTCCCAGTCAACTGCAAACGCACGCTGTTAAGAAGCGTGTGCGGTTGCTTTTTCGTTATGCAGTTCACAAAGACCCTGCGTGCGCCACTTAATAATACATATGAACGGCAATCCACATTCCATTCATGTTTCTTTTTTTTTTACTTTGGAGGGAACGGTGAACATACGTGCTAGGCTCTTGTACGCCCAAAATTGCTAGCGTTATCCAGTGCTGAAAACCCTCTAGTTTCATGGACAGAGTAAGAAAAAAAAGAGCTGTTAAATAATAATTAAATTAGTAAATATTGATGACCCATTCATGAGGCATGGTGTCTTTCTCGTTTGGCACCAACATTGAGAAGCTCGCAGCTTTAGGAGAGCAAACATTCATATGAGATCTTAATTCATTTACGGCACAGAAGAGAAAAAAAAAAGAGTTGCGTTGACTCGATGAGCGTTTCGTGCAACATTATGTGGCACGATCTTGTTAAACGAGCGTTACTAACATGGAACCACGCTGCACGAAAAAGTAGCCTAGTGCATATTGCACCCCGTTTCCTTCAAGCACGTTAAGCTTTGAAACACACAGCAGTATAGGTCAACTCTGTCCCTCTTTGTACATACGTCAGTTCCGCCTCCCAATCGGCCGCGCCAAGCCACGTTCGATCCTATATGGCGCAGTATAGGAGCTAGAAAACGCCCAAGCGAGCGCTGATCTTTCGAAAATTCAGTGCAACTCGACGTCTTCCAAAAGGCGTCGCAGTGAACGTGACGTGCTATCAAAGCAAAATAAGGTGATTGTGGTTACTCTAAACATCACGTCATTTCACCTTGTATAAAAACTGTAGCTAAAGGTATTCAATAAAGTTTATCGCTTCGAGAGACTGAAGTGTTTATTTCGGTATTTATGTGTTGTGGTCGCACGTGCAGAGGCACGCACCGCACGTCTTATCTTTAACTAGGTGTCATGTTGTGCGTCCAAATTTGTGCGCACGCCGCCCTTAACGATTGTGGCAGCCTCTCATTGATTAACACTCATAGAAAAAAAATGATTGTGTATTAAGCCACCACTAGTACTTCAAAGCTTTTTTATGGAGGCTTTCAAACCACGTAAGCCATCTTGATCTATAACGCCGTAACGTACAGGGCTGGTCAAAAGTTCCCAGGCCACTATTACATCAATTCCAATGGCAGCGTGGTCTGGAACACCCCCCCCCCCTCTCTGTACATCGTTCTTCGATCAGTTTTTCCTGTTTCATCAGAGACCAAATATGCTTACCACTGATGACCAGTTGTGTCGGCGTGCTAAGGTGGTGCCGGCGGGTGGTCAGACTGTGACAACACACATTTTGTCCGACTCTATATGGAAATAACGCTGCTCGTAATGCACGCTCTGCGCCTCCTCAATTCCGGTTATTCTTGAGGGTCTGCCGTGCAAAAGTACAACCCAAGGCTTTATCTTTTTTTGGAGAAAAAGAACGTGCAGATTGCAAGCCATAGAATTAATTAAGTGGTATAGAGCGTCCGGAAGGAGGAAAAAGAAACATCGTGTGTAAGCGGTAATAACACAGAATAACCCTTAAATTACCAGCAATGGATTGATTTCAGGGAACTGTAACTTCACCAGACGAAGAGCTAACTGAAATTTTAGTCAGTTCACAATGACACAGTAATGCATATGCGTATCCACGGTAGCAAGCAGCGCGAAAAAAAAAAAACGAAACGGACACAGGAAATGACGGGAACCTTTGTGTCTACCTTGTGTGTACGTCTTGTTTTTTCGCTCTACTTCCAATCATGGATCCCTATCAACTGGCCCAGCTATCTACACTTGTACATATTCGTATGTTGATTTAGCGATGCCGTTATTACAGCCTGCTACCTCGAACACTCCGAGGATGCAACGCAGTCACCGCTATACTGGAACACCGCTGCGACCACGCGGTAAAGTTTGTGCGAGCTATCGACGTGAACATGCGCATGTGTTGCAGGAGCGTCCAGTTAAGAGTTGATTTGGCTTGAATTTCCCGTACTTTCGTATAGCCGATACATGTAGTCTGCCTCAACAGGAGCACTTCGCACAAAACGCCGTCCTTGGCTGCACGAAGGTTTTCTGGATTTCCTCACTCAATGTGCGCAGTGATTTCCCTCTTGCGTGTTTCGCAGTAGCCACTTGATCTTCGGCAGACTTTGATACCAAGACCTGTGAAACACATATTTCTCAAGTACGGATACACGCCTCAGCATTCGTGTAAAAAAGAAGCGATAGAATGCGGCGTGAAGCAATGCAGCTGTTTGCCGCTGCAGCCTGGTGGGATACGCAAGTGCAAGTGTGAGGCGATCCTACGTCTTTTTTTTTTAACGAATACTGATCCTGAAAGGCTCGTCTACGTTTGCTGTTTGGCCATGGCCATGTTTTCGCTAATTTCGCCATCAACATAAAAAGGCTCTTTTTTCAATGCGAGGGCTCGGCAAACCGGCAGAGCCAATATTTTTGGCATAATACCTTACTGCCTGCTGTCGCCAGCACACGAGTGTGCGTGTAACAGGTTCCCCACGGCCGTTGTTGTTTTTGAACAAATACACTCTATTTGCTTCCAAATAAATTAACCCGGTTAGATATTTCTGAAATCATAGCTAATAAGCGGCAGCGTCGAGCGAACATGGCCCTTGCAGATTTCAAGTGGTCACCATACCCTTTTGTGGCAATGCAGCCTACAATTATGTTAGAAAGTCGCCTTTCATTTCCACCCTACCCCTCTCCCTCGGTGCAGGGTAGCTAACCGGACCTGATTCCGGTTAACCTTCCTCCATTTTCTAGCATCTCTCTCTCTCCACGAGAGGTTGGAAAACACCCCACTATTGTCACTAATGTGAATAATTACATACACAATTTGGCGCTTTGAGAACAAGCTAAAATTTTGTCACGATTTTTGGAGCACTTTGTGGAGCATTCCGGTTTAGTTTTTTTGATCTACACATGAGTTAACTGCCGAGCACAGCTCCTCGCAAGCGCTCGCACGATTTTTTTTTTTTTGCCGTATTGCTCGTGGGGAAGTCATTTTTACGATCCACCACTTTCCTGGTTATGCTGTTCGATGACTGTACACGAGGAACACCGATACAGGAGGAGTACGAGGAGCATCGAGCAAGAAAGAAAGAGACTCGACGTTGCCTGACGCAAAAAGCGTTAACCCGCTTTTAATCGGCTGCATATCTTTAGACACGATCGGTCGGCGGCGTAGTCTCTCTACGCGTAGAAGATGACCGAGTGTGAATTGCAGAACCAGAAAACTTATAAATATGTCCTCTAGAGGCTCTCCGGTAACAAAATGATAAAAATAAAAGTATTAACCCATAGTTTCCGCCACGCTCGCCCTTACACGAACACAGAAAAAAGTTATTTACAGCACTTTTCAGCGATGACAAATGCTTGTATGGTTGACAGAAAGAAAATAATTATACCGAGTTAAGTATCTGAAACTGTCTCTCAATACTTATAAAACCCTAGCACATTTTTTAAACAGGTATCGAACAGGATTTTTTTTTGCCTACAACCCCACTAATTACCTTCTATTTACATACGCGTAGCGCACCTTATATAGTTTTCTTGAGCTAATTGAAAAGTAAACAAGCATGTGAGACGGAATTTTAATACACGAGTTAGCGACGTCGTCAAAAATAAGTGTACATTGCATATCGCCAACCCTTCACACGGAACACTATACACGTCAGTGCACTGCTCGATTACTTAAGACCACAGGTTAGGAAGTTCTCACAAAAATTGCAGTAGTTTGTTGTCGGTGTGTGGGCGTGAGGGTTGGCCTCTCTTCACTTCCGCACTCCTAGTTTTTTTTTTCCGCTGCAAGAAGATTATTTCTTGCATGCTCAGACTTACGTTTGTGGCCCCGTAAGTAAGGTATAATGTCAAGGTCAAAAGTTAGAGTAGCGTTCGGGAAGAACGTGCATAAAGGTGAACGAATTTACAAGGACCCAAAGTTAAGATTGTTTTTTATTTACCTTTTCGTGACGTGGCACTTCAAGGAATTCGAGAGGTAGGTGCAGACATTGGGATGCTATCAAAATCAGTCTAGTCGACATCGACATCGGTACACCGCAGATAGTTTCCCGATGGCAATAGAAGCAGCAAGCGTTCCAACCAAAAAAAAAAAAAAAGACCTCCGGTCAGTTCATTTATCATTCTCTAGAGACCAACGCAAAATTCGTGTTTATAAGTTGTCTGAGAGTCACGAAGGGAAGTATATTACGTTCTCGTAACAATGCAAGACGCATAAAATTCAAGAGTTCTTCCTATAGGTGTGTGTATATTTTAGAAGAATATTTATTTATTTATTTATTTATTTATTTATTTATTTATTTATTTATTTATTTATTTATTTATTTATTTAGAACATTTGGCTGAGCACACAGAGAAAATTGTCGAAAATCGGCGGGATACTCGCCAAGGCTTTTCTTCCCCGTCAGTGCTTGTACGCTGCGTCGGTGAAAGAAACCAAAAGCCGTCAAGGGCACGTTTTTGTTACCATTCAAATTGTCTATACTCTGCCCTCCATCTCTAGTGCGGACAGATGCGATGATCGCAACGAAATATCGATGCTCTCTTTTCGTACACCTCGTGTGCTCATGCATGACTGCGGGCCAAATTGACATGCCACTCACTGATCAGCCGTCACTGCTACACTCTGGTGAGCTGCATTTTAGACTTCCCTGTGTAATTCAAAGCTAATGCTACGAATCTTCGCGCATTATTTACTAGTCAAAACTTCATCTGAACACAACAGGCGAGCTACTTTTGTGCTTTACATTGCATTCGCGGATCGCCGACATACACGCATTCGCACACCAATACAGGAGGTTCCCCCTTTACGTGGAAAACCACTGGTTCACAAAAAGGCCTGTTCTTCCGGAAACAACATACTTCCTCAGATATGACCCCTTCTATGTACTTCGTGCGAAGCTCCTGTAACCAATGCGCGTGTCGCAGTTTATGCATTTATCGCATTAAGAACCATGCACTCGTGATGACTACTGATACGCTACTTTATAAACTTGCACTATGTCAGCCGTGAAGCGCATTTATTGCGCGTGGCTAGATGACGCAAAAATCTGAGAAATCTCCATGGTGCGCACGGTGAACGTAAGTCGTGAATGCGCATGGGCAGTGTTTCCTATTTTGGTATTTTGACGACATTGTCTTTTTTGCATCTGGCAATGGGCGTTCAAATGTTTTCGGATATCCAACTCTCCCGATAACGAAGGTAGCCTATATTCAATCCTTAAGAAATGTGTCTCCCTCGCTGGGCTACAACGCGTCACTTCATCATATTGTCGGCAGAACTATTTGTTGTCACAATATTCAAAACTTTTACATCTGTATTTATTTACAATTTTTATTTACAAATACTGCTGTCCCATGCCTGGGACATTGCAGGAGCGGGTACAGAAAAATCAACAAAAGCACAGAAACAAACAATAGTGCGCACAAATTTATGTGACTAACACATAAAATTTTTTCCGAACTCTACAGTGTTCAGTCTACGCAATGCACCATCAAGCTTGTTCCAAACTTCCACCACACGCGAAAAAAAAAAAATAGAATTTGAAACAATCCAAACGAGACCTGAAGGGTACAAGGTTCAAAGCGTCTGTACTACGTGTTGTACGTGCTGGTATATCAGCGAAAGATAAGGGCGCGTGAACGCGGGTCATTTTGTGTACAATCTTGTGCAACAAGATAATACTCTCACTAATTGTTTAGGGCATCATTATCCATGCGTCAAGGTACTCACCACGCCCGGTAAAACTGTTGAACATTATAAGGTTTGATTTTTCAACCAGACTTCATCACAGCTTGATGTGGTTT